GAGTGGATCAGATGTGTAGAGAATCTGTGACGGGCTACTATTAGGATTCCCTGATTCACAGAAGTAGTTATTACCAATAGAAGCTGGAACGGATACTGTACTACCAGTATTACATGGACATGAACTTCCTGAGGTAGTTGACTCACTATGACCAGCTATTAGTGACCAGACGTGTTGTTGAGAAGATCCACGAGAAATAGTAACACCATCAGCACCAGTGACAATGGCAGTATTAAGAGCATCAATAGAACCAAACAGGTATCCTGTTACTCTACCACACACTTGAGAATAACTGATACCATTAGATGGGAACTGAACTGACACACACCCATTGAATAATGATGGTTTGCCACAAGCTCTAACTCCTCCTGAACTATATAGGCCAAACCCAGAAGGACAGTTCTGTGTAGCATCAGACATATTCAGATATGCTAGTCTTGTCCATCCTCCTTCTGAACCACATGGTTCTGGTAATACATTAGTCTGATGAGGCATAACACTAGAAGAAAGGGGAAAATGTACTGAGCTAGTCACTATTGGTAGACTGCTGGTAGAAAGTATCTCAGTTGGTTGGACAGTGGAGGAGCTGTCTGCTGATTCACTGCTGGTTAATACAGTTTCTATTGGTAGACTGCTGGTAGAAAGTATCTCAGTTGGTTGGACAGTAGAGGAGCTGTCTGTCAATTCACTGCTGGTTAATAAAGTTTCTATTGGTAGACTACTGGTAGAAATTATCTCAGTTGGTTGGACAGTGGAGGAGCTGTCTGTTGATTCACTGCTGGTTAATACAGTTTCTATTGGTAGACTACTGGTAGAAAGTATCTCAGTTGGTTGGACAGTGGAGGAGCTGTCTGTCAACTCACTGCTGGTTAATACAGTTTCTATTGGTAGACTACTGGTAGAAAGTATCTCAGTTGGTTGGACAGTGGAGGAGCTGTCTGTCAACTCACTGCTGGTTAATACAGTTTCTATTGGTAGACTACTGGTAGAAAGTATCTCAGTTGGTTGGACAGTGGAGGAGCTGTCTGTTGATTCACTGCTGGTTAATACAGTTTCTATTGGTAGACTACTGGTAGAAAGTATCTCAGTTGGTTGGACAGTGGAGGAGCTGTCTGTTGATTCACTGCTGGTTAATACAGTTTCTATTGGTAGACTACTGGTAGAAATTATCTCAGTTGGTTGGACAGTGGAGGAGCTGTCTGTTGATTCACTGCTGGTTAATACAGTTTCTATTGGTAGACTACTGGTAGAAAGTATCTCAGTTGGTTGGACAGTGGAGGAGCTGTCTGTTGATTCACTGCTGGTTAATACAGTTTCTATTGGTAGACTACTGGTAGAAAGTATCTCAGTTGGTTGGACAGTGGAGGAGCTGTCTGTCAACTCACTGCTGGTTAATACAGTTTCTATTGGTAGACTACTGGTAGAAAGTATCTCAGTTGGTTGGACAGTGGAGGAGCTGTCTGTTGATTCACTGCTGGTTAATACAGTTTCTATTGGTAGACTACTGGTAGAAAGTATCTCAGTTGGTTGGACAGTGGAGGAGCTGTCTGTCAATTCACTGCTGGTTAATACAGTTTCTATTGGTAGACTGCTGGTAGAAAGTATCTCAGTTGGTTGGACAGTGGAGGAGCTGTCTGTTGATTCACTGCTGGATAATACAGTCTCTGTTGGTTGAATGCTGGAGGGATTGACTAAAGAGGCAGATCCATTTAGCTCCTCTATATTACAATGCATATATTTTCTTGCTCCTCCTTTGCCTATTATATTATAATATCCTGATGAACTCTCTGGCCAAAAATTCTTAATATCCTCACAAGATAAAGTAGCTGCTGCCTGACAAGAGGATGATTCCTCATCATTAGCTAATATAATATACAGTACAGGTCATTATAATGAAGATATTGTACTAATGATTACCTGAAGATATGTTAAAGTAGTGGAGTAGGACAATACACAAGAGAACTGGTCTTAACATTTTAAAGAGAGAAGATATCAACTAACTGAATATCAACTAGTATG